GCTGCGCCGTGCGGTCGTGACAGGTCACCGCGAACTTGCCCTCCGCGTCGTTCCAGGCTACGAGGAAGCGCAGCTGGTGCCGCTCGGGCTCGGCGAAGAGGTCCTCGCGGACTGGCACCCAGCCCTCCAGGCTGTCGGGCTGTTCGTCCTCCATGACGCCGGTGGTCAGCGGCCGGAGGGCTCGGCTCGCCCGGGCCTGGCCTCCTCGCAGCCCCCGCCACAGGAGCGTTCTCCCCGTGACATTTTTCGCTGGGCCGTCAATGCGTCAGCGCCCCGCGACAGTCCCTCCGGCACTTTTGACTGGCTGCCTGCGGCGGTCATGCCTCCCGCGGCGTCCAGGATTGGCCGGGTAACAGAGGGAGGGGCTGTGACAACCAATGAAAGGGCCAAAAGAGTGACTGGGACCCGGCCCTGGGAGTTCAGCACTGTCGCAACGTCGTGGGGAGCCCGGGATTTCCCACTCTTGACTCGCCTTTTTCCACCTTCATAAATAGTGGCGTGGAAAAGGTATTTGTGAAATGAACGAGTTACTGCGGACCCTTGAGAACCGGGCCCCGGCTGATTCCGTCTTCTGTCGCCAGGGCTCTAGTGAATTCATAGTTCTCGGTCTCAAGTAAGGTACAAACTCGCTGGAGAGATCAAACATTAAATTAAACGTCGGAGTTTTAATTGAACCTCTAAGCGCCAAGCGCTGGGTACGAGCTACAGATTTGTTATCAATTCAACAAGCTTTTATGAAGGGTCTGCTGTGTGCCTGTTTGGGAGGTGGGGATGGAAGAGGGAGTATACAAAAAAAATAATAACCGTCTTCAAAGCATGTTTAAATAAAACCTATGTACTGTCTCTTTATTTTAGAAATCGGGAAACTTCAGACCCAGAAAAAGAACTTATCGCAAGATACAGAGACACTCCAGCTAAATAAGACCATCGGGCTATTGAAGACCTGTTTAAGGAAATCGGAAAATCAAGTTTGCAGGGGAGGATGAAGTGTCGGGTGAAGCTGGATCCGTTTATGCAGCACAGAACAAGACAGCCCTGGTCTGTGCCCAGGTATGTGCCTCCTGCTACCTCCCATCCTGTGAGTGCACTGACGGCAAGAGAACCATTTAGCGAAAGTGACTTCTTTTTCCTCAAACTATTTTTCAATATATTACTTTAGCTACTATGATTTGCTAGTAATTCTTTAATAGTCTTTTAAAATATTCCTTGGAGTATGCCTTTTTAGTGTATATTCATTCTAGTAGTTTTTCTAATTTATTTGCTTTTTCAAAATGAAACTTTCTAATTATAAAATTTCTATTTTGTGAGTGTGAGGGGGGATAAGTTTGTATATTGTTAGGAAAAAAAATATGGAGACATGCACAACAAACCTAATAATTGTTGTCACCAGGACACACGATTGGTGTATGTTCACTTTTTTTTTTGCAGTATTTATTTCTAAGTCAGATACCATATATTATTTTACAATAAAAAAGATTTTTAAAAATTAGTAAAAGGTACATATAATTATTATGAGAGGAGACACTATCAAAGACAAAAAAATAACTCAGAAGAAATTGTTCTCATTTTATGTGTGTATATATTTTTATCATTCTTAATACCTAAATATATATACATACACATATATATGATTATACTGTAATTATACTGAATACTCTTTTTCTACTTAATATATTGTGGTCATTTTCCACATTAAAAAGTTGGTGTCTACATCAGTATTCTTAATACATGCCAATACTGAATTGACTATATTGTGATTTATTTAATGAACTCCCCGTGATAGACATATATTTATTTCAATTTTCTGCTGATATAGACAAAACTGTGATGAATATTCTTGTACAGACATCTTTGCATACTTTTTTCTTTCAATTCTTTTTGCTTTTGGTAGTTTGCATTCAAATTTTATTTCATACATGCCCTCCAATAATGGTATTTTAAAAATGAGATTTTGATTGAAGCCCAAAAAGCAAGAGATGTAAAAATCAGGAATTAAATCACCATATGCAGAAGGAAACGGTTCAGAACCTTATTCATGCTCTCAGCTAATGGAAGAAAATAAAAAGGATCAGAGTGAAGAGGCGTTCGGGAGGGAGACTGGTGGAGGAATTTCTCTGTTGAGAGCTGTTGTTAGGCTGGAGGACCCTTCAGAGTGCTTGCTGCCTTTCTTGCAGGTGGGACATTGGTGGCCTGAGGCATGAGGATCAGCTGCTTTGGTGGCAGAGCCAGGGGAGGTGGCTGCACTGGGACATCTGCATCCCAGTTTGCAGGATCAAGGATGGGGCCTACTACCGAAGATCTGGATGTGGGCCAGCAGGAAGCCAAAGTCACCTAGGTCCTGTCTAAGAGGGCCAGCTGCATGGGTGAGGAGACCTCATTTGAGGCCTGGGAGGTGGCCCACCAGGGCTTGGGGGAGGAATGCAAGGGAACCCGGAACAGATTGGTTCTCAGCCTGGTCATGGGAACTTCAGGGGAAAGGTCTCCATAGTAGGAAACTCCAGAGATGTATACAGGCTCCGAGACAGAGAGGCCGAGGGGCGGGGGGCAGGGAGAAATGTGAGCTGTAAGCATCTGCCCGACCCAGAGAACCTGCATCAACTGTGACATCAACTCAAAAAGGAGCTGTCTTATCACCTCAGCGCCTCCTACCCTGGCCCCCAAACCAGCGGCTCAGGGAGGGGGTGTGAGGAGGAGAGGCTACTTCGTTCCTCCTTTTCCAGGGAAAACTTCCAACTCAAGAGGCCCAAGCTGCGCAGGGGAGATTTTGGTGCCAACTAAACTCAGTGTGGCATTGTGATTAATATAGTAAATCGTGTATTTAATTACTGAATGTTTTCACGTGCCCCTAGGATTGTGTTTGACATCAGAGGAAGCAGAAAGTCACGGTGCTGCTAGATCTTTATCCAGAGTGCAGAATACATCCCACCCTGAGTAAACGTTAAAGGAACAAATTAAGTTGTTTGATTACCTGTAGAGTTGTGCTTTATCAAAACACTTTGGGAAAAGATGCTCAGCCCAAGGCAGAAGGTGTCCAGCATGGGCTCTCAGAAATCCTCCTCTGCGTGGCTGCACCTCCCTTCTGCCCCCAGCCCTCTATACATGACCAACCATCTGAGTCCTTCAGTGGCCTACAGGACACAGATCCCCACAGTCAGGAGTAACTCAGAGGACAGCATGTGACCTCTCCTGGTGACACTTGAGCAGAAGTAACAGGGCAGCCTGGGGTAGGTCTATATTTGGGCTTTCGCTCATGGCAGGCCTGTTGCTATTTGCAGCCGCAGCCAGCTCGTATTTCCATCGCCTTTGTCCGGATGCAGAGCCCTGGTGTACAGCAGGCAGGGGCGGCC